TAAAAAGGAAAACAAAGACTGAAGAATGGAATGCATATGTGATACAGCAAAGCCAAAGAAGATATTAGAAGGGATGGGAACAGTAGTAAAAGTGAACGTTCATAAGTTCAAGGCTAGCCTGGATTACAAGGAGAGAGCCCATCAGAGACAGACAGATGGCAGAGTGAGGGTATGGAGGAATAAGAGGTAAGTAAAGCTATAGAAAGACGACTCACTGAATAACTGACAGGAAGAGATAATGGCCCAGAGGTAATTGCAAAAGCGGTCACTAAAAAGCCTCAAATTATATTCTTGTCAGTGCAAGATGAGGTCACATGACTGGAGAGGGAATTTTGGTAGGAAACGAGGGCATTGTTTTGGAATAACCATGGGGAAGAACAAAACAGAAAGAGACTCCATTTAAGCACAAGGATTCATGCACAGTGTCTAAGGAAAGGGTCCAAATATTGAGAGAAACCAACAGGCCTGCAGGTGCACCAGCTTCAGAGCTGCCTCGTATCTCCAACTGTGCAACTGTCGGAGCCAGAGAAGACATTTTAAGATGGCAGTGATGCAGAAGAAGGTGCTTAGGAAAAGTCCACGTGGATGAAAGAGCAAGAGCTCAATAGACTCAGATAAAGATGGATGGCAAAGTAGAAAGAAATGAGGCCCAGATGCAAGCAGTATTTCAGAGGTGGAGAGAGTTACATGGTTCAGGTTCAGCACATGAGGAGCACTGACAGAGGACTAAATGATTAGGGGGTAGGATGGCTCATAGGAGAACAAACAGGAGCCAGGGCCCTGGTTCCTAATGAATGAAAGGCACTGCTATAGACGCCATTAAAAGTTGTCGACAATGAGAAGTAGAGGAAAATTAAGATGATTAAATCTCAAAAAGGAATTTTGAAACCTCGTATGCAGGGGCTAGGGAGATGACTCAGTAGTTAAGATCATATACTGCTTTGCTGAGGACATATTTGTACCCAGCTCAAAAACGGCCTGTCTCCAACTCCAAAGGTTCCAAAATCCTCTCCTGGACTTCACAGGTACCTCGCCCCCCACTCCCCAGAAAGCTTGTGTGTTTTTCTCTCTTTCTCTCTTGGAAACCTTTTGATCTATGTCTGTCTGTCTGTCTATCTATCTATCTATCTATCTATCTAATGTCTACCTACCTACCTCCCTATCTCTCTCTCTCACACACACATACATACAAAAAAATATTAATAAAATCTGTGTTACTGAGGTATGATATGACACATAAAAACATGTGCACTATTCAAATCAGAATAAATGCACCCATCTCCTTGGCACTTGATCTTTTGTTCTTAAGGGTAGAAACAATGGGACCCATTCTTCTAACTTTTTAAGACAACACACCCCAGTGCCAGTAGGTACTGTAACTTAGTATCTACTGGCCAACCTCCCCCATGATCCCTAGCATCTTCACAACCTCTAGCCTAATTCTGAATTAGGTATTTAGATTCTACCTAAGAGATAACGCAGATAAAAGGTACATCAATAGGCATAAAAGGGTTATTAAAACAGCAATGGTATCATTTAAAAAAAAAGGGAGGCAAGGTAGCAGAAAGGGCAGTAGAGGTGGCAAGGAGAAATGTAGAAGGAGCGGCGGGCCGCTTCCTGCCACCCAGCTCCCAGCCACTTGGCTAGCTTATGCCCGGAAATAACAACACACAAACTGTATTCTTTTAAATACTTCCTGGCCCATTAGTTTTAGCCTCTTATTGGCTAATTCTCACATCTTGCTTAACCCATTTCTAATTTGTGTAGCACCACAAAGTGGTGGCTTACCAGGAAAGATTCAGCATGTCTGACCTGGTGGCTGGCTCACTGCGTCTGACCTCACTTGCCTTCTTCCCAGCATTCTGTTCTGTCTACTCCACCAACCTAAGGGCTGGCTTATCAAATGGCCAAGGTAGTTTCTTTATTAACCAATGAAATCAACACAAAACAGAAGACCCTCCCACATTGGGGAAAGGAAAAAAAGAAAAGAAAAATGTCAGGCCTAACTAGAAATATTAGTACATAAAAGAAAATAGCTTTAATTTGGAAGGGCTGAGAAAACTCCAGTTAGAAAAAGGAGATCAAAGTGAGTCTTTAGAGGAGAGAAAGCTATTCTATGAGTGGGGTGTGTGCTCGTGTGCTTGCATGCATGCATGTGCATGTAGGTGTATGTTTGTGCATGCAAGTGTGCATGAAAATAGTTTACCAGAGATTAAAGAGTCATTTTATAGATAAGCTGAGGTTAGAGATGAAGTGGTTTAGAGTCACAACCACTGAAGCATTTGACAAGGGTTTCTATTGCCATTGCTACAAAATTATGGATGGCCACTTATCCTGTCTACTCCATGTACTAAGAACCTGGCTGATTATAGTCATTAAAAACAAACAAACAAAACCTCAACTACTTGGTCTCTCACCAGAACTTTATGACCATATAATCCTACAGCTGAAGATACCATACAAAGGCAAGACAGAGGCATCAAAACAGAACTAGGCTGGAAGTTTTCTTCTCACCGCTCCTATGAGAGAAACATCACCACTCTTCCCCAGCTGCGAGCCATGAGGTATAGTAACAACTGGCAAGGTAAGATGTGCCCTCTGGTTCCAAAGTGCCTTGAATGTTATAGAGCTAGCAGACAGCTGACTGGATGTGAAGCCCACTCCACAGGAGGGCGTCCATGCCTAACACTGTAAACATGGCGAAGAGTTCACGGCTGGGGAGACAAAGGCCTTCCAGGAAAACCTACTAATATGGTTTGCTAAATGGCCACCTTGTCAAATTTCCTTCTAAATTCTCATGTTTATTTGTACACCTTAGTGTTGTTCTCAGACTGGGTCAGAGAAGCCACTTAGTACAGTATGTGGCAGTTAAAGCAGACTCTTCTTAACTAGTCAAAGCACCAGGACTACGGGATGGGGTAGTCAGCCCTCAGGGGGACATCCTCATAATCCCTTCCGAGGCTTTGGGAACATGTTGGTGCAGCCAGAGGCAGGGAGATGTGAAACAGAACACAACTCTGGCCACGACGCAGCACTGCACTGGAGAATTCACTGCAGCTGAGGTTACTCGCACAAAACTGAGTCTGTCACCGTTTCATCATGGATAACAGAGGGGCCTACGGGGTCCCACCCTTCCGGACGGTCTATTGGCAGGTAATGGTTGCTGAGGAGTAGGGTAACATTTTCTTCAGTGGTGGCACCACTGATAAGCTGCGTGCTCAAGGAAATAACCTCCAACCCATGCATGTGTGAAGAACTCTAACTGAAGTAGGTCACACAGAGAAAGAAGATGCCCAAGTAGGAGGCTGGCTTCCTGAGGACAGTAAGAGTTTCGGCATGAATCGAATTAGAAGTGAAAATGACTAAAATCCACTATAGACATGTGCTCTAACTGTTGCAATAATGACAAAAAAGAATACAGCTCATCTGGAAGCTGCACTTCCACCTGTAGTAACTAAGGTCTTAAGCACGTTCAGAGGCCTCACAATAGGAAACTGCGTTTTCAATGAAGCTTTGCTTTCTTTTTACATCAGTTTATTTGCAGCTATTCCTTTCAATCACTTGTCAGTGCAACAATCTTAAAAAGATAATTAAAAATTTCCCTATATAAAAACGATAGCATACTTTCTTCCATACGACTGATACTGAAGTGTAACGCACTTGACTGTATGCATTGTCAATACAGTGGGTACCTTGTGTCCCAGTTGGCCTTAACTACAGCCATCTGAAACAGGAATGGCCTAGATCAGATTGGTCTGGGGGCATGTATGGGGGAGGGGTTGTCTCGACTGTTAATTCTATGGGAGGGTCCTGTCCACTGCGAGTGGTACCATTCCTTGGGCAGGTGGTCCTGGGCTCTATAAGCTAGCTAAGCATGAGTGTATACGTCAGCAAGTACAGTTCCTTCATGGTTTCTACTTCAAATTCAGCCCCGTCTTTTCTCCACAAGCAATTGTAACCTATATGATGAAATAAATCTTTTCCTCCCTGACATTGCTTTTGGTCAGATTATTTTACAGAGATATTTATTTGGTCAGAGATCAGAATAGGACATTTTATAATGTGCCATGTTTGCTAATAACATTTTAATTGCATGTATTTTTTTCAATGATAAACTGTATCTGAAAAACACAGCAAAAATAAGATGTAAAATGTAAAAGCTGAAGTCAGTCAGAAGTGAACATTGTTTTTCTCTTTCAACTTACTCTGACACAAAGAGAGAAATTAATTTTCCTAAACTATATACTCAAGGAGAAGCTTTGCATTAAAAATAGATGTTTCATATCATATAATAATGATACCATCATAGTACCAATTTGAGAAGCAAATGCATGTGTAAATCTCTTCTTGGGAATTCCAAACTTTAAGAAATACTGTTGCAAAAAAGAAACACCTTTTTTTCCTTTTCTTTTCTTTTTATTAAAATTTTGTGACATACAATATATTTTTATCAAGTTTTTCTCCTCCCCCAGTTCCTCCAAGATCCTCCCCATCCCCTTGCCCTCCCAACTCCATGTTCTTTCTCTCTCTCTCTCTTAAGAACAATACAAAACAACCCGCTCCCCAAGACAGAGGAGAAAACAAAACAAAACAAAAAACAGTAAGACAGAAAACAAGAAAAAACAAAACAAAAAGTATACACTTAACATGGAACCCTCTTTCTCATTTTACTCAGACTACTGAAACCAACACAGTACTCTTAATTACATTTTATCATAGAAATAATTTCAAAATGTTAGGAAAAAGGTTTATTAAATGTAGTCAATTCTTTCTGAAATAAAACTATCCCCCACAATCTTACAGTAATCTTCATTAATGTGTGGCTTTCGATCTATTAACTAAACACTGTGCACTTCCATGACTCTTCCTCAAAGACAGACACTGAACTCTCAAATTAAATGTGATCAAGAGAGCAACATTCCAGATTACATTTAAATAAACTGATAACAAAATCCTGAATATTGGTAAACACTGTATAATATGCACATTATTTTACTTACCAAATCATATATTTGGTTTGCCAACTGTACTTTCTCATCTGCATCTTCCAAAGCCTTATAGTAGTCCTAAAGAAAAATTTTCATTTTAAGCATTGGTAATTTTAGCATGCATACATACATACATATATATTCCTGCCTTTTCATTATTCATTTCATACGCTTGGTATCTAGGCATCTCATATTAGCAAGAGTAAGCTTCCCATGGTAGGGCTGGTTTGGAAAGCATTAGAAATGAAGCACAATGTCAAAAAGTAAAAGAATATGTTTAAAAATCTAGAAAAGACAAATAAAAATAAACATGCTAAGTTCAGTCTCCTTAGTAGAAAGTTATGAGTTAATAAATATATGAAGAACAAAACAATGCTAAGATTTAGCTAACATATAAAACATACCAACACTTCATTTATACAACTTAAAAATACTTATGTGTATAAGTTGCCTGCATGTATGTATGCCTACCACATGCCCCCGAAGTCAGAAGGGGACATCAGATCCATTCAAACTGCAATTACATATGGTTCTGAGCCATTATGTGGGTGTTGGGAATAAAACCAGGTCTTCTGGAAGAGCAGTCGGTGCTCTTAATCATTGAGCCATTTTTCCAGTCCTGATTTTTACGCCAAAAACACAGCCTTACATTGGATTCTGATCTGCATGTTTCTGCTGTCCAACTGGTCTTCAGCTCTAGGTATAAATTCATACCACCCAAATTGTAGTTTATAGTTTTTCATATCATGATTTTAAAAAACAAAATTATTTTTTAAACAAGAAAAAAGTATATGAGCTTCCACAAATCATTAGACTTTTAGGGGTCTGTTCAAGTTGGGCTACATCAAATACCTTTCAGTTGAAGAGGATGGCCAATGAACCCTGGATTTACATATGCAAGTTCTAAACTCCTACGTACCTGGGTCCCCAGGTATTTCATAAGGCTGGACTACTTCTCTCATGACTTCAGATTTTCCCCTTCCTAACAGAAACACTCTTCCTTCCAGATGGAAGAATAACACAACTATGAAAATTTTAGTTCCAAAATTAATTTTTCTGTAGATCCCTGAAAATTTATATAAAGGTTGGGTGTAGTTACATATTCTTCCTCATATTAAAGGACCTGACCAGAGTCAAGCAGCTCAATGGCAGTGAGGACCAAAGCCAAGTCTTTGGAGCTGGGCTTCCAGTGCAGCCTTGAAAACACCAGATCCCACAGCATAGCACTCAGTGAGCATATCTAAGCCGCACTCCAATCAGGAGGACACTAGCTAAACCTCAGAAAGAACTACAGGGAAGCTGGAAATCGGTGGTTCTCAGTCCTTCTAATACTGTGACTCTTTATGTTGTGGTGATCCCAACCATAAAATTATTGTGTTGCTACTTCATAACTAATTTTTCTACCATTATGAATGGTAAGGTAAATATCTGTGTTCTCCGTTATAAATCCATAATGTAAGTATCTGTTTTCTGATGGTCTTGGAGACCCTTGTGAAAGGGCTGTTCGACCCCTAGAGGGGTCATGACCCACAGGATGAGAATCACTGCTCTAAAATATAACAAGCACCCCCAAGTCACTGATAATGTTGCTTCATTCAATACCCTGGGATTAACGTCATTTTAAATCTCTCTCTCTCAGAGGGTCGCAGTTGTGACTGACAATCACCCAAGGTATTCATTGCACTTACTTTTTTGATGGATGCCATCTGCTCTTCTCGCCACTCGGGTTTGTTCTTCTTTGCATTCATAAAAAATTCGCTGACTCTTTGTTCTAGTTGATCCATTGCATCTGATATAATAAAACATTTCATACTTAGCTAACCAAACTGCTTTGATTCGAGGAAAGAAAAAGAAGTCTGATGACATGTACTATTTTAGTTTTCTAGGTGCTTAGCTATCAGTCTATAAACAGCAATGCCTTAGTTACCTTAGTTTCAAATAGCTGCAATATTCTGTGCTGACATTTTCTGACGATCAAGGCAGAGTCAATGACACAGACAAGCACCACAGCACTGACACTAGCTAATGGCATGACGTCGGCTGGTTATGGCATCCTTAGTGCTCACTGAGAGGACTGCTGGAAAGTCTTCATGCTTCTTTTAATAAAAATAGTGATAATACATTCAACATGTGCAGCGTGGCACCAAGCACCCCATCACTTCAGCTCATATGAAAGTTAGGAAATGTGTGATCATCTTAAGATGCCATTTATTCACTCAATATACATGATATTTATTCTATGCAAGGGTTTTCCAAAGCCCATGCCAGAAATAGTGACTTCAGTGGATGACTGCTAAAAAAGACAAACAAATAAAAGGGATTTTTCTCTTATGGAATGGAGAAAACCTTGCTTACTATATTTGTCATTTAAAGCATTTTACTTGCCAGGTAGTGGTGGTGCATGCCTTTAATCCCATAACTTGAAAGGCAGAGGCAGGAGGATCTCTGTGAGTTCGAGGCCAGCCTGGTGTACAGAGTAAGTTACAGGACAGTCAGGGCTACACAGAGAAACCCTGTCTTGAAAAAAACAAAACAACAACAACAAAAAACCAAAAATGCATTTCGCTTTCCGTTCATTTGCCAATATTAGACATGCTGCTACTTTTGTTAACACGTAATCATGTTTAACTTCAGAAAACACCAGTTTTATAAAAAAGCAAATTTGAAAACCTTGTAGTATTTATAAACTAAATCCAAACTATCACAGAATTTAAAAAAAAAATTGAAAGACTAAAAATGTTTTAAATAATCCCTTACTCTACACTTATTTGTAATGGGTAGTATACATCCTAATTATCTGTATTATTTTCAGTTCTCAGATTGTCTTTTAAAAAGGCCCAAGGCAGGCAGCAAAGCAGCCATGGTGGATACGAAACCGGTGATGCCCTAAAGTGACCCCAAATCTACGGCTGTCCAGCTTTGCTCGATCCCTTTGGAATGTGCTTCAGCAAATGTTTACTACCAGAACTGCATTAAGTCAAAGGAAATCACACATACACCTGCCAGACGTGGATGACGGGCTACATGGCTATGCATCCCAAGAGATGACCCAGGGACTGAGATAAGTATGATTGGGAACAAAAGGTACCAAAAAGTGTGGGGGGGGGGGCGTGGGGGGGCTGAGAATGAAAAGAAAAGGCTCTCAGCAAACTCAAGCTGCCTTTGAGTGAGCCACGTCTAATATGACTTTTCAAAAGAAAGAGCTCAATTTCGGGAATAAGTAACATACAAAAACTACCAAACATTGATGGACAGAAAAATCAAAGCTGAGCCAGTATGGTGGTCCAGGCCTATAAACCCCAACACTAGGTAGGCAGAAGCAGGAAGATCAGGAGATTAGGGCCAGCCTCCTAAGAGACCAGCCTGTGTTTGTGATTGTGTTTATAAAACTAGAAACGGGTAGGAAAGCCTACCAAATGTCTAAAATTTCTATAAAGAGCAGATCGGAAGATTTGCCTAATAATTATTTTTTCTCACTCGTTTTGGCTGAGAAAATAACCATGCTCATGACAGCTCTAAGTGTCTTTCATAAGGTGCAACTTGTCAAAGTTCGGCCTTCCAAGTCCACTAGGGTCCCCAAATCGCCGCAGAGAACCCGTGATTCTAAGTCCTTAACGCTTGAGATATTCGGGAGACAGGGAACTTTTAAGGCTGAATGCAGAACTCCAAGTTCCACACGCAGGCTCAAGTGCAAACCTTCTGAAAAGCACGCGAGTTTCCACCGCGCTGCAGTGTCGTCATCACCATGCTGTTGTACACAAACACTGTGTTTGCTGTGCCCCGCGTGGGAAGGGAATGGTGTGCCTGCCGCCTCCTCTAACAGCCCGGGAAAAGTAGCGCGGAGAAGCCGCCAGGCGACGCCAGAGGGTGGCCGGGGCTGCGCGGGGCCGGGGAGAGGCGCCACTTACTCTGCACCTGCAGATCCATCTCGCGCATCTCGGTGAAGCGGTCCCGCAGGTCCATGGGCAGCTGCTCAATCACTGTCAAAGGCACAGTCCGTCAGAGGGCGGAGCCAACGGCGGAGGGACGCGCTGGCGTCACGCGTGCGTGCGTGCGTGCGTGCGGGGGGGGGCGGCTCACAACGAGGCTGCCAGTTACCGTGAGAAAGAAACATCCCCCGCTCCCCCTCCCTCCCGCCATCCCGCCCGCCCGGCCACTCGCGCTCCCGCCCGCCGCGGATCTCGCCCGCCGCGTCGCCGGCGCCGCGCACTCACTTTCCAAATAGTCTTCTAGGTACAACATCGCGGCCCTGACTGCTGCGGGGACGAACGGGTCCAGGGGTTTATTTGTGTCACTCGCTGTCGCCGGAGTTTTGTCCCTTCCAATATGGCGCCTCCGCTAGCAGCACCCGCTCGACTCCGGCGAAGGGAAAAAAAAAAAAAAAAAAAAGCAAAAAAAAAAAAAGGCTCCACTTTGGCGCCTGACGGCGCTTGCCTCACTGCCGCCCGTCGTTGCCATTGGCTGCCTGGAGCGGTGACGTCTGCAGGCCGGTGCGGAGCCCCGTGGTCTTCTGGGAAATGTAGTCTGCTTTTGCAGAGCAGGGGCCCACCAGTGCGGGCCGTTCTAGGCGTCGCAACTACAGAAACCACACGCCTGCGCGAACTGAGTACGCCAGAATCCGAAATGCGGTGCCTCTGATTATTTGTTGATTTCTTCAGGGGGATGACGGGAGTTGTATGCGCCTGTCTGACACAACTAGGAACAACTTTTCACCTGTTCTGTGCTGTGATTCCAAGCCCGCCGTTTGTGAGTCATGGATTTCTACCCGTGCTAGGCAAATGGCAAAGATTCCAAACGCTAGAATAATCGGCCAAGTTCGGAAAATTCGGATTGTTTAGACGAGAACTCTCTGCTGGAATTTATCTTCGTTATTCACTCCCGAGATAGAAACGGAACAGCTTGATTGTCGGCCCTGTAACTTTAAGATAATTTATACAGAGACTGGAGCGAATGTCCATTTCCTAAATTAAAAGATGCCCAAAATAGTCTGCAATGGCCAGTTGTGTTTTGCGTCGTGTCTCGTTGTTCATTGTAAAGCAACTGTTCTAATACACCTGCAAATAAATAAATATAGGTAGATAACGACCAACCATAATTTATGGAGATTTAATCCATTGTTGGGATGTACCAGCAATGGTTCCAATTTATGTTGGATAAATAGCTGGGTTAAGGTTTATAGTCTTGGACGGGCTGTTTTTCTACCCCTAGCAAATGTTCACTAGTAGTAAGTTTCTATCTTAAAATCCCTTTCCTAAAAATTGTGCACTAAATACATGCTTCTGTGTTTTGAGGGAATAATCCCTTCTTAGACTAGTAGCTTCGAGGCACACCTGTAATCCCCAAACTGGGGGAGTTGAGACGGGAGGATCAGCAGTTAAAGGCGAGTCTTGATAACGTGGGTAATTAGACGCTAGCCCACACTATGGGAGACCCTATCTCAACCAAAAACAAAAACAAGAAAACAGTATGACACTTTTAAGATTTTTTTTTATTCACTACTCTGAATATTTTTTATATGTCCAATTTAATTTTTTTGAAATGACATGCTTTTGCGAGCTCTCTTTTGTTTTCTTTTAAAGTCATTGTTTTTAATTTCTTGTGTGTTAAGCATATGTAGTCTGCATCTGTTTAAATCCAGAAAATACTGAAAACTGTATTTGTGCTATTTCTTCAAAAGCAGCCACATTTGCTCATAGTGCTTAATTCCATCTAGGTTAAGATTTTTAATTCTACATTTACTTTTGTGGGGTTAATAAATGTAGAGATTCATCGAGGCTAGAGTTAAAATTGAGTTTTCCTCGAGAACATTAACATTTGATTCTGCAAGTTGGCACAAGCTTAGGATCAAGTTAAGTTGTGTAGTTGAGGTTTGTTACATTGCACAGATAGATTGAATTTGAGCCTGTAACTCAAATACCCCATATACTCTCGGGGGAAACTTTTTCTTCTTTATTGGCCTCTAAGTCCAAGACAAGCATGTTTTCTTACTGGCCTCTTATGTGCAGAGAGTTTTTCTCATTCATCTTTATGTAGGGAATGTAGTTCTTGGGAGCCTTAAATTTTGTCTTCTATTAAACTTCTTGAGAAACCACCATTAACTGTCTTCTGACACTGGTGTCCTACAGGACTGTCAAAGACACAATTCTGTATGTCCAGGATTTGATTTCTAACCTCTGAACAAAAGGCTTGCTTGGGCCCTTGTTTTCCCTGGATGTGCTCATTTTCCTTCACTGGTCTCTTTTTTTTTATTATTATTATTTTGGTTTTTCGAGACAGGGTTTCTCTGTGGTTTTGGAGCCTGTCCTGGAACGAGCTCTTGTAGACCAGGCTGGTCTCGAACTCACAGAGATCCGCCTGCCTCTGCCTCCTGAGTGCTGGGATTAAAGGCGTGCGCCACCACCGCCCGCCCGGCTGGGTCTCTTCTTTTAATCCACTCTGAGGATTTCTTTATGTCCTACATGAATATTTGTACATTTGAGTTTGTGGGAGACAGGCTTTCGGGTAGCCCAAGCTTGCCTCTAACTCACGATTGCAATCAAAAATGATCTGGAGGTCTAATTCTCATGCTTCCACTTCCAAACTTCTGAGTTTACAGCCTTGCACCACCTCACCTCATCTGCCCCCTTTGAGCTCCTTCATCCAGAAATTTTCATTGTTCTTAGCACACAATGCAGAGTAGCAAGTATGGCGTGCTGTCAGAAGTAGGAGTCTGTCATGCCAGTGTAAGCTGAGCTTCCTCAGGGAGTGTTCTGTATGGAGGAAAATGAAATTTAAAAACGATTCTGATTTAGACCGGGTACATATATCCTCCAGAGAAACACACTGTCCATTTTTCTTATCGAACATAACCCTTATTGTTGAACTATATGTCATCTGCAGAAAGTCAATTGGGTTATGCAATTGATAATACTTGGCAATGTCACCTACACACAGCCAACACCACATTTCTTGGCAGTGTTTCTTATGTGAAGAAGGACTGTTTATGTGTGAATATTGTGCTCACTGATAATAGCTTATTAATTCATCAGAGGTAGGCTGAAGCTGGCCCTATTTCATGTTCTATGTTGTGGTGGGAATGAAGAGACAAGAGGCCAATAACATTGTAACAAGTGCACACATTATAGCACAGTAAATGTCTGGTCCTCTTGCCCCTGTTGCTGAGATCCACCAGGTCTACTCCTTCCCTTGCTCTTCCCAAATTTGTCACTACGAGAAATAATAAGAGCTGTATAATGTTGAAGGTGGTTTTAACGTTCAATGAGTCCATGTCCAGATGTGTAAACTGGAAATAACAACAACAATTCAGACATGAGAGTGCTTGTAAAACTGTCATCTATTCGGAGCTCTTAGATTAATACCAGGTCTATGTTACTATTAACGGCTATATATGGACAGAGATTGTACGCTGAATTCCTGGCCACCCAGACCAGAATAATCATACAGAAACTATATTAATTACAACACTCTTTGGCCAATAGCTTAGGCATATTCCTAGCTAGCTCTTATATGTTAAATCAACCCATTTCTATTAATATGTCTGTCACCACGAAGCTGTGACCTACTGGAAGGATCTGGCAGCATTTTTCTCCTTTGACAGCTACATGGCACCTCTTTGATTTCACCTCTCTCTCTCTCTCTCTCTCTCTCTCTCTATATATATATATATATATATATATATATATGTGTGTGTGTGTGTGTGTGTGTGTGTGTGTGTGTGTGTGTGTGTTTGATTTCCTACCTGACTTTACTCTGCTAAGGAATTGGCCAAAACAACTTTATTTATTGACCAATAAAAGCATCACATATATAGAAGAATATCCGACATAAGCTATTCCCTTAATCATTCTTAACATCGTATGTTACTCTTAATATACCCATGTTGCAGCTGGGACTTTCTGCTACTCTGGGTTCTGCTTGGTACCCCTGATTCTTTTCGGGCCAGACACTGTTGGAAAGTTAGCATCATTTAGGAGGACAGTGTGTGTGTGTGTGTGTGTGTGTGTGTGTGTGTACAAGTGTAGGCATGCACATGCCATGGCTCATCTGTGGAAGCTAGAGGACAACTTGCAGCAGTCTATTCTTTCCTTCCACTGTTGGCTGAAGGCTACTTGTTCTTTCCTGGCTTCTCACACACAAAATAATCACTCAGAAACTATATAATTTGCAATACTGTTTGGCCAATAGCTTAAGTGTATTTCTAGTTAGCTCTTCCATCTTAAATTAACGCACTTCTATTATTTTACCACAAGGCTTATGGCCTACTGACAAGGTTCTAATTGGTGGCTAGCATCTTTCTCCTCTGGCAGCTACATCTCCTGATTCCTCCTACTCTCTCTTCCTCTATCTGCTTGTAACTCCCACCTTGCCCTATTTTGCTAAGCCACTGCCCAAAACAGATTTATTCACTAACAAATAAAAGCAACTCATATACAGAAAGACTTCCCATACCATTTCCCTTTTTTTGTTTAAATAAAAAGGAAGGATTTAATTTTAGCATAGTAAATTTACATATAACAAAACAGGTATCAAGCAAGAATTACAATATAATTACAATATTTATATGTACTTTATCTTTTGTCATAATTAAGGAAAACTATAATTGTCTATTCTTCAACACCATCAAAGCCTCCAGAAAGATTTGATATTACCTAAGTAAAAACAAAGTGCATTGTAAGCAACTTCCAAAACTCTAGAATTGACAGAGACATCTTGCTGCTTGGACAGTCACCCAAAGTTCTTCTGTGTTGTTGGAGCACCCTTCTGCAGCCCATAGGCTCATAGTGTCTGGCAGACTTTCCTATGAAACAGGAAATTTCAAAGGCAGTTCCACATATATTGGTAGTTTGTCAGTCACTTTCTTTTGTGTCTTGCAGAATGTCTGGCAGACTCTTTCATGAAACAGGAACCCTGAAGGATCGTGTCACCTTTAGGCAAGTTCAGCAGTCATTTTTCCATAGGCCCTGCATGTCCAGTTTATACAGCATAGCATCAAGCAGTCCAGGCAAGAGCAGTTTCTTGCCAACATGGCTAGCAAACTCCATAAGGAGCCTCTTTGATGCCCATCTTCCTCTTGAAGTAGATTGGTATTGTCAGGAGAATATGTGTCTCATTGACATGAAAAGTCCAACATTCTTAAAGCATTTTAAACACCATATTCCATAGGTCTTTGAAAGGTTTGAAGATTATCTATCTAACTTAAATATATCTCTATATATCTAGAAAACCTAACTAACATGACTACAAGTTTGACGATTATAGATGACTCTATATTAACCTATATTTCTTAATTATACATTACATTTTTAAATGAGCTTCACAAACAGAATACCTTAATCAAGAGCAGAAATATACATATAATA